TATAACTCGATTATGGGTTTATTAGAAAAATTAATACCACAGGCGGCGGGGGTGTGGCAACCAAAGGGGCTCAAGCTTTGGGAACTACAAATTTATGGAATTAGCTTATGTGAAGCTGAGGCTGTTAACCAGTTAGTTCAACCACGATACAGCCTTATGTAGGAACTAGTCAAGATATACCCGAGCACAAGGCAGCGTCCTCTTAACAGTGCTTAAGCCAAAATAAGTCGGTAACAACCAAAATGGTTTGTATAATCTGGCAAGTCAAGGAATGTATAGTCGTAAATTATATAACACCCTTTGTATTCGTATAATTTGATAATTTTAAAAATTATAATTATCCAAATTAAAAATTATATAAATTTAAATTACAATAATATTATTTATTTTTTTTTCAATTTTAAATTAATATTTATTTAAAAAATCAATTATAATTATCAAATTTTCAAATTATTATTATTATTAAAATTTAAATTTATAATTTACAAACAAATTATTTTTAAAAAAACAAATATAATTATATATATCCAATTTTTAAAAAAATAATATATTATATAAAATAACAATATATTTTATTGTTATTAAATAAATATATGTTCGTAAAAATAAATTATATAATTATAATTTTCTCAAAATTATATATTTATTTATAAATTATAAATTCAGATTATTTAATATATAAATAAATTATAATTATTATAAATTATAGTAATTATAAAAATAAATGTAATTATATTATATTATATTTAAATTTAAATTAAGATTATATTAAATTATTTTTCTCAAAAAATAGTAATTTTATTGGATCCAAATTTTCTTGATGATGCAAAAATATCATTCGATAATGAATTTCCATAGATATCGTTTTTCTTGCCATAAATTTCCCAAAAAAAATCGGAAAATTTTCGTGAAAAATTTGTTGTATCCGAGTCGTACTTACAGATGCAATTCCATTTAATTACAAAATAGTATGCGGGTCTATTCTATTCCTGTCATCCCCAATTCAGTTCAGAAGGTTCTCACCTAGAAAAGCAATAATATACATCTATAATAATATATATATATATATTTATATATAATATGATAAATTTTGATAAACCACTTCATAATATATGTTCGCTAAATTTTTCGCCAACAATAATTTATTTTCAGGAACTCAGAAAAAACTTTCGCGGGGTCTCATGTTGTAACACCGGCGGGCTTCGTAATGGCGAATCCCTACATGGACCTTTAGATCGACTCTGTGTATATAGATGTATATAATATCATATAATCATATCAGCTCAGCAGGCTCAGCAATCAGTTTTTTTTTGCAGCCCATCTTGGCGCTGCTGTTGCACTAAGCATCTTCTTGGAGGATGCTCTGGAATGATCTGGACAGTTGGCGGGTGAAACCCGGACCAACTGTGGATTTAATGAGCATGTGTGTGTGTGTGCACGTGTCGTGTAGACTCCAAAAAAGAGCTTGGAAAATGAGACATTGGAGGAGATATGCACATGTAATCATACATAATTATATGTATGTATGTATATATATATAATTATAATGACTCTCTCACAGCCAGAAGGCCAAAGCAAATCTGCCTGTTGTTGAATTGGGCGCACCGCCAGGCCCCTCAAGGAGTGACGTTATGTGACATCTATCTTTACCTCCTCAATGCGGCACGTCATTGAACTTGTGACATTGACCTCACATCCCTGGCCTGAAAAGCCAAAAAAAACACAATGCATCCTTGGAATCATCCCATCATCCAGTGATCTTGGAATCCTTGGCATCCTTGGCATCCCCGAATGCCACTGATCCAACTCTTCCGAGGTACCACTTGATTGTTGCTTTTTGGCCCATGCCTTGGTGTCGGTGTCAGAAGGATCCTAAAGATCAAAGCTATGTCGGATCGGTATTGAATAGGTGGAATGAGAAAAGCCAAATTACAATTATCACCAAATAAAGGTGAAGTATAATTATCAAATCCAACAGTTCTCGCACAAAGCCTTTGAGCCTAGTGTTGTAGCTCACAAGTAATTACTCCAGCAAGCCTTGATTCCTGGAACTGGGATTCCCGACAAGCCCTTTGCAACGATCTCACCATCTTCATCGCTGGTCTGCCAAAAAGTCAAGGATTCGCTGCAAGTCATGTTACGAATGTTGTGGCGGCGATCTAAGCCGTCGGGGTTCACCCTTTCGAACTGATATCGATCGAAAGGTATGAAATGCTATGAATCAAAAAAAAACAAAAAAGGAGTCGTCCTATTGCTTAAGGATGCTTAAGGTGGTGGCAAAGTCACCAAGTTGAGCTGGAACAGATTCAGAAAGACTAACCCTTGTCAACCCATGTCAACCCCACTACGACGACGACATCACCAGCTTTTTGACCCAGTCCTTGGCGGCCAAGTGTTCTCGGATCAAGTTTGCACGGTTTTCAGCTACTTGCTCCTGACGGGGTGCTGTCAGACATTTCTGCACACTGGTAGAATGTGGGCTGGTAGGCATGTCGCAAAAAGAGTCACCTGAATTGGCCACAGCCAACCAAACTAAATGATTCTCAATCGACTCAATTTAAATCACACACAGTTTCTGAAAGTGCCCTTAACCATTGTTCTCCACAAACCGCCTGGCAGTTAACGCAAAAATATGCAAAAATTACAACAACCCTGTGGTCTGCTACGCGACTCGCAACCCGCTCCCAGAAGGCATCTTGGCCCTTGCCAGCGGGTTTCACATGGCTCTCCACAGTGACCTTTGCACCTTTGAGCCTGGGATACAGGAGGCAGTTGATAACTGGGTCATCCGTAAAATCAACTCCTTGTGGCCCAACGGTTGCTGTCTATTCACATGGTCTACCAGGGTCTACCAGGTTCTACCACTTGTGCCTGAAGCCTCTTGACACCTCTAAGCATTCCCGCTGCGCCGCTTAAGGTTCAAAGTTGCTACACAGAAAGCCATCTTGTCGCTGGACAAATTGCTCAAGGATGAGAAAAGAGCGTCAAACAGTCAAACATGTTGATTTGCGTATAACATAGTATACATATGTATACATAGTTTTGTAATTACAGGACATCATATGTCTCCTCCATAAATTTCCAAGAAATCTGGTCCGAAGCTCTTTCCAAGTACTGCACGCCATCACAAGCCAACTTCAACGATCGCAACAAACACATGCTGTGAGACAGGTTCCACTCCAAGTTGATTGCCTGTCACCTTTGCTGTGAAAACAGTTTGCCCATTCTAGGTATCCCAACATAGCAACGAGCTCGGAAGCATCGGCCAAAGCCTGGCTGTTGCAAAGCCAAAGTGATGCATCTCAGACTTCTCCTATCAATTGCACCACTAATTAGGAGTGTAAAATATTATGGTTTCTGAAGGATGTTTGATTCTTGGAACGAAATCTGCAGTCTTCAAGTGCATCCTGATCAAGATGGTACAATGGTACATTGACATGTAACATACGGCGACATACGGCATACATTGCATACATCGGTATATCATATGGATTCATATGGTATATCCGTGACCAATCTGAAGTTTTTCTGTGAGGTTGCCCACCACACCCCGCACCGATGTTGCCAGCGATTCGTCAGTGAACTGTGCCACCGGCGCCTCACCGTTTTCACCGGGCGTGGCCACAGGGCGTTCAGAAAGCAGGGCCAAAGTCAGCCATGCATACATTCCAAAACTGACCAGGACCAAAACACTGCAACATTTGCCCCAATTTCAAAATTCGGACTTTGATCACCTTCCGCCCTGCCTCCGTGGGTTTCTTTGCCTTGAAATCCATGCCCTTTTTGATCTCCAAAACCTGACATTTGCACCGTGAGGCTTGTGACATGGCGCTCCTGTCAGAATGGCTCACCGAATGGCCACACTCTCACCATTCTGAGCTGTCAGTTTGAAGCCACATAGGGCCTTTGTCCACAAGCCCACCAGGGACCCAGCGCATTTGGCGATATCCAAAGTCACATTTCCGCGGCCTTGGATGAGCTTCACCTTGCGGCGGAATGTGAAAACATCTCGGGTGGATCCAAACTTCCACTGATTCGGGGCTAAACACACCCTAGCACTACGAGGCATTCAATCAGTCAAGACAAAAGCACATCTCCCCAATCCAGAGCATACTCAACAGAAAAGTTGAAATCATACACTGTGTATCAGTGGATAATCGAATTTTCCTCCATGTCTACAGTTCCTCACAGCAACAGCCAACTCAACGGCACTCCCAGAGACCTGGCTTTTTCCTGCGCACGAGACCTCCAAGTCTGTACAAGTAGGAGACTCATCTTGCGCTCATGTTCGGCAAGGGACGTTCGCATCTTGCTGCTACTTGACATTAAAGCTGACTCTGTAGACAACCAAGTTTTTCTGCACATTTCAGCTGGCAGAGTTCTGCCTGAATACGTCAGCTGATTAGGTTCTAGTTCTAGCCCTTTTCAATCTCTGACGCAATGCCAGGGCGGCAAAGGCTGCAGGGATTCTCCAGCAGCGAGACGCGTTCAAAAGCTCTCCTAGCAGCGTAGCAAGGACCGGTTTGGTCATGCTGGAAACCAAAAGACTGCAGCTGCAATGAAGCAATCCAAGAATCGAGCGCGCTCTGTACATTCCGTAGGGTTTCTTCGCACGTCACTATTTTCCATTGCGCTGACCGAGGATTTCAGGCAAGAAAAGCACCTCTATGCAGCCAGAGTTCCTAGGAACCCGTTGTATCGGTCTTCACTTGCACCCTTCTTTGGCAAGTTTAATACCGAAATCAAATTTTAAGAATCTACATGAATCTACAGTAAAAGAGAATCCAGAACAAACAACACCAAATAAGACTTTAAAAATCTAAATGAACGCAAAAAATATCTGCAAAAAAAAAAAAACATTTCACACCTCCTCTTCGTCCTAGGCCAGAACAAACTTCAACATAGGCATCAGTCATCGTATACGGACATGCGGACAACACATTGAGAAGCTAGGCTAAGGGTCTTCGATTTTACATGATTTTACAATATCGGAAAGATTCCGAAAGTTTGTCAGACCTGAAGTCTACGTGCCAGCTGCAATCAAGGTTACTTTCGAACATCTTCTGACAGCCGACACACGGCACGGAAGGGCGCTCATCGTTCACTTCTTTGAGCCTGAATCAATGCATCCACAACCTGAGCTTTGCAAAGAAGCAAAACGAAGCAAACCATGTGGGTCTAGCAGATTGGAATGCAATGAAGATTTAGTCTGCCATGACCCATGCAATTCCTTGCTCCATCATAAAAAAAGATCGAGGTAAGTCCAGGGATGCAAGTTTACACAGCCATCAAACTAGGATCGCCGGGGCCCATCATGTTTAAGAGCTCTGCCTTTGGATTTCAATGGATTTCCCTGACGTGCGCTACCATAACGCTGATCAATGCTTCATACATCTTCATACTGTACTATCCCACTCAAGGGTTGAAGCCTGAAAGACAAGATTCCTTGGTAATCCCTCTTGACAACCACCGGACGACGTGACTTCTTGGCAGCCAATGTATGCCCAGTGGTCCCCAAAATACGCCAAAGCTGTGCCAAGATGCACATCTTCCCAGGATTGGCTGGTCAGGAAACTTATCTGGATGGAATGTCAGCAGCGCCTCTCCTGGGCAAAGGAATGCCGAAAGTATGCCAAAGGTATGCCAAGCCCCAACATCAAGGATGTAGTTTAACAATGTTTAACAACTGTGGGTGTCAAAGTCTAAGGCCCGAGATGCTGTAGGCAGATTTCAGCGCAGCCTGATCCAGCAGGCCAGACAAGCTCCTCCATGAAGCGCTGAACGTTTTGAACCAGCTGAGTCTTGTATAAAAATGTATAAAATGGATGCGTGCAGGCAGCCGGTTTGATCAGTTCATTGACCAATCCCATTTCCATTCCAGTTAAGCCCCACAAACCTCCAGAAATCTCAAAATGTTGAAAGACATTGAAACACATCGAACTAGGGATGTCACCCGGACCCGGACGTCACCCAGACCTCGCAGTCCATGCTGTGTTGGGCGCCACCAAGTGCACGGAGGCCAGCAGCGCCCGCAGATTTTTGCCTCAGCTCGTTGAAAACTTGTGGTCCAATTGTGGTCCAATTGAATTGTGGTCCACATGGTCAACGCCGTCAACACGGTCAACATGGCTAACTGAGTTTGATGGTCTCATGTGATTCTACAAAGCGCTTTACAGATCTTTACAGTGAGGTATCAAAAGATGTCGGATGGAAAGAGTGAGCCAAAACGTTTGAAAGGTTTCTCCTGACCTCGCCCGGGTTGAAACCTGCAACAATTCCTTTGAGGGCATCAGAAAACAGTGGTGCGCAGTCCCTCCATTGTGCCTTCCCTCCATCGCTCCACGGCATCAACGGTGGCCCGATCTTCGGGCGCCTGCGCACAAGGGGTTTGCACCCAAAGTTCTCTAAGCAAGCGAGATAAGATGAGATAAGGCACCCAATGTCAGGGTTGTGCCTCCCCAACTGGAGAGGGCACAGCCGGAGCAGCTGTGGCCACGACGGAATCTGTAGGCTCCGACACCTGAGCCACCGTTGTGGTTCCATGACTCACTCCATGGTGGGAGGCGGTAATGCCAAAGCTGCCGCCTGTCTTAGCATCAATAGACATCAACAGGTTTATCAACCCCTGTGCTTCGGTTTCAGCTGGCCTGTATATACTACCTTCATTCCCAAAAAAACGTCACATGAGCTGCATGGTATGAACCAGACCCATCGAGCCAAACGTCACCAAGTTGCATCAATCAAGTTTGGTCCAGAAAGGTCAAGCAAGTCATCTGGAATATGCCTCAGTACTTAACAGTGGTTGATCACCTGTTCCGAAGTTGAATTGGCAGCAAAATTAGGATAAAATAGGAGTAAAAAACTATATGTTTTAAGCAATTTCAAGGTTCCTGATTCTCCAGGACATTTTCATGAGGTGCCAATGTTCCAGTCTTGGTTGAGGCGCTTAGCACATTGTCTGACCATCTGACCATCTGACCTCTCTTTGCTTCGAAACAATGTCAATTCCAAACTCAACGAAGCATCAAGATTAGTACAACAGTGTGCAGGGGAGGGCAGTGACATCGGTGATATCTTTGATACAGGACATGATTGGAAACCACGACGTGTTGATGTCACAGTAGCTGAGCTTCCCACGGCAGAGTCACTGGCGGCGAGTCACCTGTTCACAGGAACTCTTCTGTTGTAGGCAACGGTTGCCGGTTTTGTTTTTGTTTGTGCATTTTGATCTGTCTTGTTGCATCTTAGTGCATCTTGGTAGACTTCATCCCTCATCTTTGGTGGCTGTGGCTGTGGGTTCCAGGATCGAGACATGGTGTCCATGACACAGGCCTCCCATGTCCATCAAGTCGCTCGGCGAGGGCGCTTCCTCATCGCTAGGGATGGGAGGTGCCTGACACTGCTGCAATGAGCCCAGCGGCAAAAGCATTAAGTACCACACAGCTGGCAGCTGTATTCTGAATCGCAAAAGTGACACACCATCTGACCATGTTGGTCAGTCATGGTCAGTCATAGAATCTATTTTATTCCTGGCAGTCTCATTTTCCAGCCTCTACAGTTTCACCAGCGCTGGGCGCATGCACCGCACAGCCGGCAGTGTCCATCTCCACTACCTGAGTGAGGGCCTCTGCCAGTGCTCTGTGCAAGTCCTGGCGCAAACGTTTGAAAGATGGAGACTCACTGCGAGCTCTTGGAACTGCGATCAACTTAATCAGCTTTTGTATAAAGCTCAAACATGCTAAAAAATTGATCATTGAGCTACTACAATGTACTACAATACCGATTTGAGGCTTGCCCCAGGTGAATGGTGACTAGTTGCACCATTCAAACGGGGCCTTCTACAGCAAGTTGCAATAAGTCATCCATAAGACCTGATGCAAACTCTTGAAGCAGCCTGCCTTTGCACCATGGTTACTGCTTGCAACGGACATCCCAGCTATCCCAACTCTGTCCCGCTGCACAGCAGCTGCACTCGACAGGTGCTTCCGCCGGCGCAACTGGGCAGCAGCTGCTTGTTGCTGGCGCTGCTGCTGCTGCAAACGGTCCAAGTCTCGAGACAGTCCTTTCCACAGCCACAGCGGACCTTCTCTGGTCATTCTGGGCATGGCATACTGATCATATGCTTCGCCATGGTTTACCAAGAACCCCAACATATCCACAATCCCAAAACTGATCAAATTGGCCCAACGTCGAAATGCAACATGCACCGAAAAGATTGTTTATGCCACAACACTTATAAGATTCCGTGGCCAGCTGTTGAAAGATGTTGCAAGTATTTCGGAGATGCACTGCCAAGGTCGGCCAAAACCAGAGAACTTGAATGGTACCATTCGAGAAATGCATTGGACAGTGCCACGATGGTGTGATGTGCGAATGATGCTGCTTGAGGGGGCTTGAGTGTTCTTGAACGTCTCAATCCCGGCAACATTCGACCTTGACCTTGCTGTCAAAAACTTTTGACCACCGTGACCAAATCAAACTGGGCACAGGAGCAACCCCACTGAAGCTCAACAGCAGTCCTGTGAACTCAAAGAGTTGACGCTCCGCCTCCTCTTCATTCCAATTCCTGCAGGGCCAGGGGCGTCACGATCCACCCCATGCTAAAATGTTACTTCCTTGGTCCTAAGACACCCCTGGATTCAGCAGACATCCGGCAGCACGGCCCATGAAACCATGCCACCACATGGAGATCTTGAAGTGCACCGTTCAAAAGACATAAAGAAAGGACCCCTCCAACGCACATCATTCGACCTCCACAAAATAAATGTGTGCAGCCCCTCCAGTCTCCAAAAAATATCAAAACCTCAAAACAGGAAGAAACTGTCATCCATCATCATCCATAGATTATCATTGTTTATCTATTTATCTATGGCAGAATCACAAGACCACAAATGATGTAACTATCTATGGTGCATTTCTGCCATGATAAGAATCGATAAATCGATCCATAGATTTCTGGTGTTATCACTGGCACCTGGGATCCTCTGCGGCCAGATCTTGCAGCCTTGCCTGCCGGCCACAACCACATCATCATAAGATATACTGCATGTATATTATACGTGTCATATCATATATAAATTATATATAAGTGTATACCTGTATATATATATGTACTATTAAATATAGATATATACATATTTAATATATATATATACAATAAATATACATATAATATAGGTATATATTTATATATATATATACATACATGTAATATGTTTATATATCATTCATATTCATTTACTTGTCTACATATGTGTATAAATGTACAGTACATGTTGTGATTATGAAATGTATATATAGAATTATATCAATATATTAGATAACATTCTACGTGTCTATATATTACGATATATGTATTATAATTATATGTATGTATGCGGTCTCAATACTCTAACAGTCCCTAACATCAAACTCGTTTGTCAAGAAAATAGTCAAGATAAATCAAGATAATATTGCCAAACAGCCCAACTTTAAATTCATTGTGAGACCTGTATCTGTCACACACTCTTGAAGTGTTTCCACTTCACATTGGATCTCCTCACCACTATCACCAACTAGAAAGATTGTCCGCGGAAGATGGCCTTCAAGTCTAGTACAAGTACTGGTAGGGAGGAATGGAGTTGGAATGGAGTAAAAATGGAGAATGCTTCGGATTGAGTCTAGATCTCCATGTGCAGCATACGAAGGCCTTCTGCTTCATTAGCGCTTCCTCCACGACCTTTCCACATGCAACAAGCACTGCAAGATCGAATGAGCCCATGTCACGAGATCGGCTGGAAGTGAGACCTATCTATTGGTTGTTCGAGTCACTAGGCCCGGCTTGAATCATAGTCGCAAGAAACAAGAAACAAGAGGTGACCCGTGATGTGATCCAGGTTCAATGCCAAAAAAAAAAGAAGGTACAAGATGGTACAGGGCCTAGCCACAGCGGTTTCCTTGCAAATCCAGTCCGCAAAGATCTTTGTTCAAAATTGGATTCATGATTCCACATGATTCAACATGATTCAACCGTGTTGGCCAGCTCCAAAAATGAAACCAAGCGCAAGTAGCGCCTCCTGCCAAGCGCTACACATTGAAACTCCCAGAGGCTGCAGCGCTTGAAGAAGCATTGCGAAAGCTGAACAAAGAGCCTCACTACCTGCGCTGAAACGCTCAGATGAACAAAAAATTGAACAAAAGCTGAACAAAAGCTGAAGGAGTGTAAGGATGTGTAGGGATGTGTAGGGATGTGTAGGGATGTGTAGGGATGTGTAGGGATGTGTAGGGATGTGTAGGGATGTGTAGGGATGTGTAGGGATGTGTAGGGATGTGTAGGGATTCGGGATATTCGGGGGAGGTGCGATATACGACTGTCACAGTTGTCTTTGCTTCAACGAGGTCCGCATATGGAAGAAGAAGCGGTGACAAGCTGAAATGTACTTAGATACTTGGCAATATGGAAATGAGAAAGGGACACTCCGTGGTGGCGGTAATGCAAACAGAAATCATCCAGTGTTTTGCACATCCCTTGGCATGTCACCTTGCAATGTCTGGAAGCCTGCCCTGCTTACCAAGCCACTTTTGAACAACGCCACATATTCTGGACAGGCTGCATTGCCTGAAAGATGAAACAAAACCATCCATTCTCGCAGAAACTTTGAAGTGGTTAGCAGTGGTATACCCGCAGGATCCTGCAGGCTTTGCTTGGATGACTTCGACCACATGCCAGATTTGTCACACTTGCCAAAACGTGCTTCTTTGTTCTGACCAATGAACATAAACAAACTTTGTTGGATTGCGGAGGGAAAACCATCTGGATGATTGGCAGTCGGCATACCTGCAGGGCTTGCTTTGCCGAGGCCGCTGAATTCCTCGCAGCTACAAGGAAAATCGGTGGAGACATGTGGAGACAGTTTGCATGCGATTTTGTAGTGAATTGTGATGGATCCATATGGATCCTAGGATTACAAATCTGTCATCACTATCAACAAATCAGTTCACTACAAGAAGCCTCAATGTTTTTATGAGACAGCCGGTAGATGTGCAGTATCAGATCTGGGGCAAGATCTAAGTCGCCGTCAGTGGCAAATGAAAAATCAGAGATACTTCCTATCAAAACAATACACCTCTGGTTCAAGTGGTTATGAGTTATGAGTCAAAACCCTGGTACCTGGGTACCCTAAAATTGCGGGCTAATGGATGTTTATTCCCCAAAATATGGTAGTATGGTAACAGGTGTTGACCCATCCAGTGAGAAAACGGGGTCCTGTAGTTTCGACTGTATCGACTCCATCACAGGCAACATCGCAGTGACAAGCTGAGCCAACAGCCCGACAGCTGAGCCAAAACCCAAGGCCACAGCTCTGCATTTCTGCATGATATGTAGCAACTTTGGCGCAGAATGTACATCAATACTGAACCAGTACATCAGTACATCCACAAAAATACATACTGCTCAGCGCAAAAGCCAAGGATCGAAGATTGAATAGGACCAATAAGCAGCATCCTTCACCAAACTGTTCAACTTTCCGGCTTGCTTGTCTGATACCAGCTGGAACACCATATTATTGAATGGTTGCATACTCTGTCACTCACATCTGTCACATTCCGAAAAATCACGCTTTCTAAAGTTCAGCCTACAAGTAAGAGTTTGCGCTCTGCTTTTTCCCCCACATTCTGCGCGTCAAACTAGTCGCACAAAATGCACCCCAAGTTCAACCCCTGCCATGATCTGACACGGCTGCCCCAGTCTGCCCCAGTCTGCCCCACTTCACAAATCCTTCTTGCAGTCGACACATTTCACACCTCTGCCGTGGCCGTTGGCCCAACGCCGCTTGCGAGGATGAAGGCAGCTTTGCTGGAGATGTTGCTGGAAGGCGTCCAGCGAAGTCACGCCACTCGGAAAGTTGTAATTTCGTGCCCGGGAGGCAGCTTGGTCCATTAAGGCCTGCCACAGCGGTGATTCAGACATCATGCTTAAAGATGCTCAAAGTATCTCAACGTTATCGAAGTGTTGCTGAAACATATTGAACATATTGAAACTAACTCCAACTTGAAAAAACGATTCGCACCTGGACTTCAGCCTGTTTCTCTTCAAGCTGTTGCATTTGCAACCTGTTCATGCGCTGCTCGTTCTCCCGTTCTTGTCTATGCTTTTCTATTTCTGCTTGCAAAAGCTCTTTCTCCTTCTGCAATTTATCCCTCTCGCCTTGGCTTGACTGGCTTCCCCCAACACTGCAAGCTAGTTTTGGATGATAAAAGGACATATGCATTCCTCACTGCAAATCCTGCGCTAAATCCAGCTATGGAATCTATTTTAGAATGTAAGTAGCACCATGACAACATCTACACAACTAAAGTAGAACCGCTAGAAAACATAGCTTGAAATGCACCGCCTTTCATCACTCGTCCATATCAAGTCGCTCGGCATCACGCGGCTTTGCGACTCAAGTATCTCCAGCCGCTCCTGCAGCTTCTGTTGCTGTTCTCTTCGACCCGTATCTTGGCCTTGGGCATCCATGGAGACACCGGACATCTCCGTGACGCCAAATTCAACTTGCAACTCGCTTAGGGTCGCCAGGAATTGAGTGAAATACTGAACATGTTGCCACATGTTGCGTAGAAGAACGATAGTAGAAGGATACGCCCTGTGACAATGTTTTTTAGCGTAGCCTCTCGCGGAGTTCCCTGTGTCGCGTACACATCGCGTACCGCACCTTTGCCTCCGCACGCCCTTTCCCAGAATAAAAAACACATAAAAACACTACTAGGAAGGTGTGAAGATCGAAAAGGACGCATCAACATCGGAGCCTATATTGCAACTACTAAGAGCAACGAAATAGTGAGTGCAGTTCAAATACACCACGCAAACGAAAGGCGCTCACAAAGCACGCCAGTTCGAGTGACATTGCAATTGCAGCTGCTCCAATTGGCCACGCAGCATCTGCGTCCTTTCCTCATACAGCGCTTTCAACCTTTCCTTCTCCTCATGCGCTGCGTCCAGACGTCGCTCCAGCTCTCTTCCTTGCGATGTGCGGACCAGGATCGAGTTGGAGCAAGAAGTAACAAGATGTAACAAGCACCCAAACAAGATCAAACAAGCAGTATCTAAAAATATCTGACATATCGAAGGAGACTTTCCACTTGAGGCCTGATGTCTTTGGCCATGCTTCAAGCCCATGAAAATCCAAGATGAGAGCAAGATGTTTTGTTTGCCTTGAAATGACAGGACAGAAATGTGATATAACACAATCCCCGACTCAGCTCGGAAATGAAGTACTGGCAAGGTTCGTGACTCTTCCAGCTCCTTCTGAAAGATCTCCTTGCTGACACCAAGTTTTTCACTGAGCACTGCTGCCATCATGGACGTGTCTGGAGTCGAATAGCGGACTTTAATCTCGGGCAGATTTGCGATTGCCTTTCGAAGCTCTTCATAATCGTCTTTTGCAGTGGTCACGAATGTGCCTGGGGTCTTGGTGTGCTTGGAGGAAGCCCCCAGCCCCAAACCATAAGACACTTATTCCTGAAGATGCTTTGCCACGTGGGATGGGGTTGGGTTTGCAAGTGCGCAGCCCACGTCTGGTCCAGCTTTCAGTTTCTTATGCTAGCGAAAACATGTGAAAACCATTGAAAACCACAAGCAAGCCCAAGAAGCTTTGAAAACAAGTGAAAGCGATGCAACAAGGATTCTTTCGCTGCAGAAATGCTTCAGGGGAAGATGAATCGAGATCACAATCACCATATGCAATTGACCAAGCTTCCTAAGATGCCAAATCTTCCAGCACAATGGGTGACTGGTACAGAAACAACCTTCAGACATCTTCAGAAATCCCAACCGCTGCGCCATTGCCTCTTCTATTCGGGGCCATGGCAAAGAACTGCGCAGCGATACCAACCGGCTGCCCGTCCTCATCGACGCGATCTGTGCCAAAGAGTTCGAGCTCTTCTGGAGTGGCACGGTCACGTTTCGTACCCACCAGGATGATGTTCTCCCACTTGTCCTCCTAGGGATCTTGAAGCAACAAAAGGATAGAAAAGGATACAAAAGGGATCAAAAGGATACAAAATACAAAAGGATGAATGAATTGTTGTCTTGCACTTTCTCAAATATCTCAAATATCTTAAATAGAAACCTAACGAAAGGTTCACGAGCACACTTGAGGCTCCACCAAAGTGTTCATGTCATTCCTCCGTAGAAAATTAGTTTGGGAATGACAAACAACATCGAAAAACATCGAAGTCAGTTGAAACCATTCTACAGCATCCGCTTCTAGATGTTTCTCTATCAGTAAACAGGCCGCAATGCATCTGAGTCTCGCCCAAAAAGCCGTGTTCTACCAACAGCTGCACCACTTGTGCCCCCAGTTTCACACGACCATCAGGGACTGGTGTGGTCACAATGACTCCGTCAATGGCATCTGTTCCGTTGATCTGATCACTCATGAGCCTGGCTCGAAAGAACTTTGCCGGTCAAATTTTGAAGCTGGCTTGTTCAGAACACAGCGAAAGGCTTCACCCCAAGTATGAGGAGATTGGGTTTTGTCTTAACTGTCAAGCAGAAGGTAAATGGAAAAGTGGTCCGGCAAGGGCCAAGCCAAGGAACTCTTGCTCGATCAAAGTCAAGACCTTCATTGGTGTCACATCCATGTCTCCAACCCCTGGGGTGTCCAGATAGTCGACCTGCACGCCCTCAATTGGCAAGCCAACCTTGGATCTGACATTAGAATGTGGCTCACAGAAGCATCGAAAGCCGCTTGTGACTAGAATCGGAACTATATTCTGAAAAGTATTCAAAGAGAAAAAATCAAAGGATGTACATGAAAGGTATGTACCATCCACATTGATATCTCTCTAAGCAACGAAGGCCTCAATGTTCTTGGTGACGCCACGCGAACAGAGACCCGCCTTGGGCTCGCCACTGCGCAGCGGATCCCGCAGGGCATTGATCAATGTGGACTTGCCATCTCCACATTCGCCCACCACGAGGAAGATCTTTGGGTTTTTTTTTAGTTCCAAAAACTC